GCACCACTTGATAAACAGGACAGGGAGACCTGACATTTCCCTCCGTGTATGGACATCGTGTGGTTTTCTCTCAATACATGTACATCTCTACTTAGATTAAAATTTTATTCTTTCATCAGCACTGTATACTTTTCAGCATACAATGAGCTTACGAGCTTTTCACCTAAGTACTTTTGCATGTGTGAGTGTAAAGGGTATGCTAATCTTCAGATTTTCAGTGCCCACGTATTCTTTCTCACTGCCATCGAGTTCATTCCGACTCTCAGTGACTCCAGAGGGAGGGATAGAACTGTCCCTGTGGATTGCCAAGACTGCAACGCTTTACAGGAGAAGAAAAGTGTGTCCTTCTCCCATGGAGTGATGACTGGTGCTTTCTAAACGCTGACCTTGTGGTTAGCAGCCCGGCGGTTACCTGCAAAACCACCAGGGCTCCTTACAGATTCATTGGTAGTATATAAAACTACAATTTATTTTGATAAGTTCATCTTGTATCCTGCAGTCTTATTGACCTCAATGATTCTAGGAGGTTTTAAGAAAATAGGTTCCTTGAGATTTTCTGTATAAACAATTATGTTACCTAAAAGTGGGACCGTGTTCTTTATTCTTTTTTAATCTTTGTGTCTTTTCCTGCCTTACTACACTGGCAACAAAACCTGGCCCTGTACTGATGAGCAGGAGACAGCCTGGCCTTGTCTCCAATCCTACAGAGAAAGCATTCGCTATTTCACCGTTAAATATAATAGCAGCTGCACATGTTCTTATCAAGTAGAGGAAACTCCCTCTCATCACAGATTCTGAGTTTGTTTGTTAATCATGAGCGTGGATTGAATTGTGTCAAATGTTTTTCTCTGCAGCTACTGATAAACCCATCTAATTTTTCTTCTTGAATCTGTTAATATTGTGAATTATGTTGATTCATTTTCAGGTATTGAACCAGCCTTGCTTACCTGGGATAAAGCTGCAGTTGGTTGTGTTGTATGATTCTTCTCGTCCATTGCTGAATTCTACTTGCTACGATTGTCTTAATGTTTGCATCTATATTCATGAGGATCTGGCATTGTAACTAGGGGAAAATGAATGAGAAAATTACGTTCTACAAGTATTTATCTGAAAAAGATGATGTAGCATTGGTGTTAATTCTCCTTTACCATGTGATAGAATTCTTCATCTGGGCCTGGGGAGTTTTTAAATTATGAATTCAATAGCCTTCGGGGCTATATCTGGTGCTGTGGAGTTAATTCCGCCTTCCTTAATAACCCTAGTAAAATGGACTCTCAGCAGAATTGCCCCCATAGCATTCCCAAGCAGACTCCCACACCCTTCTTCTGCAGAGCGCTGAGCACTTACACACTGTGTGCTACAGGGTTCCTTTCATAGTTGTGAAAAAATCTCACTGCCATCCCAATCCCACGGGGCAATAGAACTGCCCTTGTGGGTTTCTGAGGCTGTCAATCTTTATGGGAGCAGCAAGACTCATCTTTCCCCCCTCATAGTCCCTAGTGGGTTTGAACTGCTGACTTTGTGGTTGGCAGCCCAACACGTAACCCACTAGGCAACCAGGGCACCTTGGAGAGTGGAGTGGTTTCTCTTTGGGACAAAGCAGTCCTTTATATGCAGAGTGTTCTGTATATTCTTTATGATCGTGGGGATGTCTGCAGGGACGGTGGCATTATTCCATTTCATCCCTGATGTGTCGTTTGTATTTCCTTTGCTCTCAGTCGCGCTGGAAGTTTGTCAATGTCGACTCCTTCAAAGAGCCAGCTCGTTTCATTGACTGCCTTGATTGTTTTTGTTTCAGTTGCACACATTTCTACTTTTTTAAAAAAATCATTTTATTGGGGCTCGTACAATTCTTATTACAATCCATACATACATCCATGGTGTCAAGCACATTTGTACACCTGTTGCCATCATCAATCTCAAAACATTTGCTTTCCACTTGAGCCCTTAGTATCAGCTCCTCATTTTCCCCCTCCCTCCCCACTACTCCCTCCCTCATGAACCCTTACTAATTCATAAATTTTTATTTTGTCATATCTTACACTGTCCAACGTCTCCCTTCACCCACTTTTCTGTTGTCTGTCCCCCAGGGAGAAGGTTATATGTGGATCCTTGTAATCGGTTCCCCTACATTTTTACTTCTCATCTTGTCTTCCCTTCACCTGAAAACAAAAACAAATTAAACTGTCACCGAGTCACTTCTGAATCACAGTGACCCTAGAAAACAGAATAGAATCACCCCTTTGGGTTTCCAAGGCTGTAAAATTTAATTGGCGCAGGAAGCCTCATTTTTCTCCCTCAGAGCAGTTGGTGGGTTTGAACTACTGACTTTACTGTTAGCAGTCCAATTTGTAGTCCACTACACTACCAGGGTGCCTATCTTCTCCTTGCTTTGAGTTTATTTTATTTCTTCTCTTTTTCAGATCTTGAGGGTGGTAAATGATATTACCGATTGGAGACTAAAATAATTTTTTTATCTCAGTCTTGTTTCAGCAATTTCCCTCAAATTTGATATGCTGTATTTTCGTTTTCACTCACTTCGATGTGCTTTTGTTTTATTTCTCTTGAGACTTCATCTTTGACCAGAGGGTGATTGAAAAGTGTGTTGTTTAGATTCCAAGTGTTCGGAGAATTTCCTGTTATGTTTCTATTGTTGATTTCTAGTTCAATTCTGCTGTGGCTGGAGACTTCACCCTGTGTGGTTTCAGTTCATCTGAGATGCGTTTTATGAGATTTGTTTATTCAGGGTATGACCTATCTTGATATATTGTCCAGGACACTTAAAAAAGAATGTCCAGCAAGATATGACAAAATACCCATTTATAAACTATCAAGGGCTCATGAGGGAGGGGGGCGCGGGGAGGGAGGGGAAAAATGAGGACCTAATGTCGGGGGTTTAAGTGGAGAGAAAATGTTTTGAGAAACGATGTACAAATGCACTTTACACAATTGATGTGTGTATGGATTGCGATAACAGTTGTATGAGCCCCTAATAAAATGTTAAAAAAAAAAAAAAAGAATGTCCATTCTGTTGTTGGATGGAGTGTTCTACAAATGTCAATTAGCTCCTTCGGGTCAATGGTGTTAATGAGTTCTGGGCTATCTGCTTGCTGATTGTCTAATCCTGTTATAAATTGTTAAGCAAGAGGTGTGGCAGTCTCCACTATAATTGTGGTTTTGTCTATTTCTACTTTTATGTTGATTGGTTTTGATTTTACATATTTTGCAGCTCTGTTGTTTGATGTCTTCTTAGTGAATTGATTACTTTAGCATTATATGCTGTCCCCGTCTCTGGCAATATTCTTTGCTCTGGAGTCTACATTATCTGATACTAATGTTTTCCATTGATTAATATTTGCATAATATCTTTTCCCAGCATTTTACTTGCCACCTGCCTAGATCATAAGATTTGAAGCAAGACTCTTGTGGACAGCCTAGAGTTGGGTCATGTTTTGTAATTCACTTTGCTATTCCCTTTTATTTTTTTATTTTTTAAATCATTTTATTAGGGGCTCATACAATTCTTAACACAATCCATACATACATCAATTGTGTAAAGCACATTTGTACATTCATTGCCCTCATCATTCTCAAAACATTTCCTCTTCACTTAAGCCCCCGGCATTAGGTCCTCATTTTTCCCCTCCCTCCCCGCTCCCACCTCCCTCATGAGTCCTTGATAATTTATTAATTATTATTTTGTCATATCTTTCCCTGTCCAATGTCTCCCTTCACCCACTTTTCTGTTGTCCGTCCCCCAGGAAGGGGGTCACATATAGTTCCTTATAATCGGTTCCCTCTTTCCAACCCACTCTCCCTCTACCCTCCCAGTATCACCACTCACACCACTGGTCCTGTAGGGATCATCTGCCCTGGATTCCCTGTGTTTCCAGTACTTATCTATACCAGTGTACATCCTCTGGTCCAGCCAGACTTGCAAGGTAGAATTCGGATCATGATAGTGGGGGCGGAGAGGAAGCATTTAGGAACTAGAGGAAAGTTGTATGTTTCATCATTGCTACATCACAAACTGACTGGCTCGTCTCCTCCCTGAGACCCCTCTCCAGTGGTCTACAAATGGGCTTTGGGTCTCCACTCAGCACTACCCCCATCATTCACTATGGTAAGCTTTTTTGTTCTGATGATGCCTTATACCTGATCCCTTCGACACCTCGTGATCACACAGGCTGATATGTTGTTCCATGTGGGCTTTGTTACTTCTGAACTAGATGGCCGCTTGATTACCTTCAAGCCTTTAAGACCCCAGACGCTATATCTCTTGATAGCAGGGCACCATCAGCTTTCTTCACATTTGCTTATTCGCTATTCCCTTTTAACTGGGCTATTTAAACTTTCTATTTAGTGTGATGATTGATATGTTAAGGCCTAAATCTCATTTTATTTATTTTTTTAATTTGTCCTCTCTGGTTATTGTTTCTAGCTTTTCTTTTTCCCCTTCTTTCTAGGGTTATTTGAACATTCTTTAGTGACCTATTTTGATTTTTCTATAGTTTTTAAAATAACATTCTGCTGTGTTTTAGGTGAAAGTTTACACAGCAAGTTCCCAGTTAACAATTTTTATACATATTGCTCCATGAGATTAGTCGCATTGTTTACCACGTGGCCGCATTGTCATCATTTTCATTTTATTTTTTCTGCTTCTTTTCATCTAGCTTCCCTGTTCCTCCTTTCCTTCTTCTTGTCCTTGGGCAAACGTTGCCCAAACAGATGATTATTTAGGGGAGCACGGTACTCGTGGGTGAGGTTATTTATTTTATAAGCCAATTTATTATTTGCTTGAAAGATGACCACTGAGACTAACTTCAATTCCAAACTCAGAAGGTACCTGGGGGGTCCTGTCTCCTGTCTGCGGTCCCTTTCAAGAATCAGCACCCCCAAAAGACCCTGATGCACCCTCTCCAGATTATCCCCAGAAGACTTCGCAGCTGTATTGCAGACTGGAGTCGGAGGCCGCCACACAGGCCCACGTTTTCCCAACCATGGCTCGTCCGAGTTCAAACATGGCCGATTTCGGGAACATTCTGACAAAAACAAAGCACGTCGTCACCCTTTCAGGGGCTGGTGTTGGTGCTGAGAGGTGCCGGCAGCTACCGGAGAAATGGCAAGCTCGGGCCTGGTCCCCAAATCCGTCCCGTTGTGGCAGTTCGACCAGGCGGTCACGCAGGGCAAGGCTGGCAGGTCCGCGTGGGCAGGGCTGGCAGGTGATGGCCATCACCCGGGACATCAACGGGCCGCCCCGCACCAAGAACCTTCTGGAAAGCCACGGTAGTATATTTAACACTCAGCCGAGAATGACGGGCGTTCGACTGTCCAGCTTTATCGGTAAAGGTGCTGCCGAACCTGAAAGTAAAGGTGCCAGGATCTCCCGCTGGCAAGAGGCAGGGGTGGAGCCGTGCTGCGGCCACACGTGGGGTTGGGAGGACACCCAGGTCCAGCTATCCTGGATCAGGTGGACCGAGAGCCCGCCCTGTGTGACTTATGCCTCTGTGGTTTATCCCGGGTCTACCTGGGAAGTGGCTGTGGCCCACCTTCTTCCCACGGAAGCCACTCCAGCCACGGGCAGATTCGGGTTTCAGGTCCGTGGGCCCTGGGGAACAACGCTTCCCGGAGCCCTTGCCCCTCCTGACACTGAAAGGCTTTTCCAGTTGTCCCGGCGAGGGAAGAACAGATGGTGCCCCTACCCGTTGGGCCCCAAACAGAGGAGAAAGGATCCTGCGGGTGGTGAGCGAAATATGAGAAGATCTCAAAAGATCCTGTGATCCCGTAGCTGGACCCCAACTTGGTGATAAGCAGAGGTGCTCAGGAGTCAGAGACAAGGCTAGTCAGCGCCTGAGCTTATTTGCTCTGAACTCAAATGCGGGATACCTCTGAAGCTAGGTTGGTTACTGGGAGTGTGGTGGCGGGGTGGGGGTAAATACAAGGGGGTATGCAAACCCAGAATCCCCACCCCCACTCAAAGCTATGTATTTAAAAAATTTTATCAAATAAATTTGAATAAGGATAAATGATGTCAGAAAGACATGCCATTGAAACTTTTAGAAGAAAAAACACTTTATTGGGGGTTCGTATAGCTCTTATCACACTCCATCCATCCATCTATTGTGTCGAGCACCTTTGTACATATGTTGCCATCATCATTTTCAAAACATTTTCTTTCTACTGGAGCCCTTGGTATCAGCTCTGCTCCCCATCCCACCCCCTCCCCCCGACTCTCCCTCCCTCACGAACACTTGATAATTTCTTAATTTTTTTTTTCATGTCTTATACTCACCAATGTCTCTCTTCACCCACTTTTCTGTTGTCCATTCCACTGGGAGGGGGTTATATGTAGATCATTGTGATCAATGCCCCTCTTGTTCCCTCACCTTCCCCTAATCCACCTGGTATCAATACCCTCATTATTGGTCCTAAGGGGTTTATCTGCCCTGGATTTCCTTTGTTTCCAGCTCTTATCTGTACCCCTGTGCATGCTCTGGTCTAGCCAGATTTGTAAGGTAGAATTGGGGTCAAGATAGTGTGGGAGGAAGAAGCATTAAAGAACTAGAGAAAAGTTGTATGTTTTATTGGTGCTGTACTGCACCCTGACTGGCTGGTCTCTTCCTTGTGACCCTTCTGTAAGGGGATGTCTAATTGTCTATAGATGGGCTTTGGGTCTCCACTCCGCGCTCCACATTCACATCGATATGATTTTTTGTTCTGGGTCTTGCTACCTGACACCGCATGATCACACAGGCTACTGTGCTTCTTCTGTATTTAAAATTTTTTTTTAACAAAACAACCTATCACCTTCAAAGCACACTCCATTACACTTAATACATTTGTCAAAACTGCGATTCCATTCTTGGTAACATTTTTCCAAACTCCTCTGTTTGGATGGCTGACAGCACCCTCCTTTGTTTCTTTATCTCTGCTGTGTCATCAAATCTCTGTCCTTCCTTTCATGTTCCTTTTTATTCCCAGAAACAAAAAGAAGTCACATGGAGCAAGGTCAAGTGAGTAAGGGGCCTCGGGCAAGAGAGGCATTGTTTTTTGCCCAAAACAGGCTCACTGAGATTGCTGTTTGAGCAGGTGCATTGTCATGCCGGGAAAACCAGTCCCCCATCTGCCACAAAGCAGGCCTTTTTTGTCACACCCTATTGTGCAATCTCTTTAGAACCTCCAAGCAGAGTCTTGATTAACAGTCTCACCTGGTGGAATGAACTCCAAATGCACTATCTCCTCACATCAAGAAATTAAATGAGCATCTCCTCGATCTTTGATTTCACTTGACAAGCTTTTTTTGGGTGAGGTGATAATGGCGTCTTCCACTGGCTTAATTGATGTTTCCTTTCAGTGTCCTAAGAATAGCACCATGCAAAAATAACTAAATAAATAAAATAAAAATTAAAAAAAAATTTTTTTTAAAGAATGCCACCATGCACAAGCAAATGTAGTGAAGAAAGCTAATGGTGCCTGACTATCAAAAGATAGTATCGGGGCTCTTAAAGGCTTGAAGATAAACAAGCAGCCATCTAGCTGAGAAGCAACAAAGCCCACATGGAAGAAGCACACCAGCCTGTGCAATCATGAGGTGTTGATAGGATCAGGTATCAGGCATCAAAGAACAAAAAATCATATCATTGTGAATTAAGGAGAGTGCGGAGTGAAGACCCGCCAAAACCCATCTGTAGGCAACTGCACATCCCCTTACAGAAGGGTCCAGGGGAGGAGAACAGCCTGTCAGGGTACAGTATAGCATCAATAAAACATACAACTTTTCTCTAGTTCTTTAATGCTTCTCTTCACCCCCCCTCTACTATCATGATCCCAATTCTACCTTACAAATATGGCTAGACCACAGGATGTACACTGGTACAGATAAGAGCTGGAAACAGGGAATCCAGGCTAGCTAAATCCCTCAGGCCCAACAATGAGAGTAGCGGTACCAGGAAGGTAAGGGGAAAGTAGGGGGCGGGGAGGGGGAACCAATTTCAATGATGGACACAAAACCCCCACCTCCACCCAAGGGGACAAAAAACAGAAACCATGAGGGAAAGTAGACAGCAGTCGGCGTAAGATATGAAGATAATAATAATTTATAATTTATCAAGGGTTTATGAGGCAGGTTGGGGACATAGGGAAAAAAGCTGATGCCAATGGCTCAAGTAGAAAGAAAATGTTTTGAGAACGATGATGGCAACATATGTACAAATGTGCTTGACACAATGGATGGATGGATGGATTGTGATAAGAGTTGTACGAGCTCCCAATAAAATGATTTTTTTTAAAGTTTAGAAAATAATGATAGCAACATATGTACAAATATGCTTGATACAATTGATATACGGATTGTTATAAGATCTGTAAGAGCCCCCAAAATGGTCTTTTAATAATGTAAAAAAAACACTCAATCTCAAATATATGTTTTTCCTTTAGTGTGCTTGCTATTTGGGCAAAGAAAAAAGCATGGTGGGATGTAAATACTCGTACTATTTCATCAATTTTGTCCAAGTTTTGGTGGAAAATAAAAATCATTCGATGAGAAAAAAAATATCTTATGGCGATAGTCTTGAGAGTTCCTCGAGTCTCTTGGTCCAGTAAATCTGTGTGTTTTTTGTTAGTTTGGTTTTTGTCTTTAAGAAATTTGAGTTTTGTTCTACAATTTTCTCCCATTCTACCCAGGGCCTTCTATTGTCTTCAGTCGATAGTCAGTAGCATAGCTCAGTCCTATTCAGTTCATCTGGTCTCAGGCTAGTTTGTAGTGCTTTTATTATTTATAATATAGATATATAATAATATATAATATAAATAAGAGTATTTATTATTATTATTGGTATAACTTTTTTCATTGGTTGCTTTAACTTATAACTTATGCTTAACTTACAACTGTCTACCGTTTGAGTGACATATAGAAACCTTACTACCCTGTGTATCCCTTCACCATCCCCAATTTAATAATAGAAGTGATGCAAATACTTCCTCTCTATATATTTAGAACCCCATCAGACAGTGCGTTGAATTTTGCTTCAGCTGGTCTAATTTAGAAAGCTCAAGAGGTAAAAGAAAAACGATTGTATTCACTTATATTTTTATTTACCATGCTGTTTCTTCCTCCTGGATGTTCCAAAGTTCCTTATTTATCATTTCCTTGCAGTTAAGAGAACTTCCGTTAGCTTTTTTTTTTTTTTTTTTTTGGTGGGGGGGTCTTAGGTAAGCTGGCAGCAGATTTTCTGAGTTTTCCTTTATCTGAGAATGGCATGATTTCCCTTTTATTCTTTTTGAAGCTCCTGAGATACTGACTGTTGGTGACCTGCCCTGCTGTTTGCTGCTTGTGGGCAGACTCTGCTTGCCTTGCCTGAGAGGACTCTGCTGTCTGCTTCCTTGACCTTGGACCCAGCAGCCCATGTGGACTTTCAGTATATTAACTGTTCCACGAAGTGAGTTGAACTGAACCCCCTGTAATGCTATGTGGACTAATTAGCTGTGTATCTATATAAAACCATAGATGTCCTGGTTTTGTTTCTCTAGGGAACCCTGCCTAACACAGGGGCTCTGACAACTCTTATAACAATCCAAACATCAATTGTATCAAGCACATTTGTACATATGTTCCCATCATGTTCAAAATATTTTCTTTCTACTGGAGCCCTTGGTATCAGCTCCTCTTTTTTCCTCTCCCTCCCCCATGCCCATTTTTAAAATTGGGTTATTTGTGCTTCTCTTATTAAGGTATTATAGTTTTCTACAGCATTTTGAACTTACCCCTTTAACTGATATATCATTGCTACCCTTTATTCTTGAAGGATTTTTTCACTCGGCATCAAATTCTATATTGATCTTTTTTCCCGTCCAACACTTGAAAATATTTTGCCACTTCCTCCTGCCCTCAAGTTTCCAGGAGAAACCCACGGTCATCCAAATTGTTTCTCAAAAAAAAATAAGGTGACCCTTCTTCAATTTTTTTCTGTCTTTAGTTTCCAGCAATTCATTTGACTATGATAAGTCTTGATGTGTATTTCTTTGGGTTGAGAGAGAATAGAACCCTGGTTGACACCTGAATTCAGATTACTAGCCTCCAAAACTGAGAAGCAAAGCGTTTCCAGAGTATCCAAATCACTTGGCTTATGGTAATTTATTATGGTAGCCCTTGGAAACAATATAATAGCCATAGTTTTCTGTCACATTTGGCAAGAGAAACAGGGAAAAGTATATCTTCCCAGAAGCAGTTCTACCTACCAGTGTTCAGAAAGTATAACCGATTATGTGGCTCCCTCGCTAAAATCTGTCAATGGCTTCCTATTATTAAGGATAAAGACTAAAATCTTTTATTAAAAAAAATTTACCCTGAAAGGAAACAGAGGAACGATCTAGGAAGCAAAGCTATGGATAGAGGTATAAGTATAGGTGTGTACATCTGTACATACATTATTTCATACAAATAGAAGTATTGGCTTATGTACATGTATTTAAATGGAAATTCACTGAAGTAGTGAATGGACTTCTGGCTCCTGCTCATTCCCTCGCTCAGTGCAAGAACATTTTGTTCTAACCAACTGGCATCCTGTGATGCTCACCTTCCCAACATGGTTGCTAAAGACAAAAATGGGTGCACAAGTAAATGTGGTGAAGAAAGCGGATGGTGCCCGGCTATCAAAAGATATAGTGTCTGGGGTCTTAAAGGCTTGAAGATAAACAAGCGGCCATCTAGCTGAGAATCAATAAAGCCCACAGAAAGAAGCAGACCAGCTTGTGCAATCACGAGGTGTTGTTGGGACTGGGT